AGCTCATACCTAAGGCAACAGTTGAGATGGTGCTAGCGAGTTTAGATTACAGGGTGCGCCAAAATTATGATTACAGCGCGCGCTGACGCTAATAGCGAATTTTTCTGAGGTCATAGCAATTCGTTCGCTTTCTTCCATTTCACAAGGTAGCTTGCATTATACCTTCCTAATCATCTGCGTAGCAGCGAAGTTCATTCCAAGCCTAAAATCACTAAATGAATGGATATCTCATGAAGTTTTCTGCGCGAAATCGTGAAGCATCACATGCGCGACAAGGCCTTTATACCATCAGAAAGTGATTCCCCCAGGACTGCGCAGGCTGAGTAGACTAAACAGAAGAGAAATGTTGGCTCACAAAAGCTGCGCCGCCGCATACAAAAAATTGTCGTACGGGATTCCTGTTCACTGACGAAAATATATCTGCGTTGAAAAAGGTGTCCAATGAGCAGGGCTACAAGATTTGGATAAAGCTGAAAAGAAATGGAAGTGATGCAGCGCTAGGCTCGCTGACTTTCTGCGATATTCTTTGCGAGCGTCACCGCCGAGGCAAAAGCACCGATTATTTTTGTAAATTGAGGAGTGAAATTGATTTGAGGACCTGTTCGATCTCTTCGTGCGCAAAAGGACACTTTGGCGATTTAGACCGGACATATTGTCAAGATGATGCTACTGACTGCAGATCAGAAATTGTCCAGAAATTCCATAAAAGGGGTTACTTGACTTTAAAACCTTCGATCCGTAACCACTCTGGAGCCCTGACTTGAATCCCATGGTGACTCAGTGTGGTCAGCCTTTGAGATGGAAGCATCCGTTAGCCCAAACAAGAAGTGAAGTAATCTCGAAAATGCCCTGCAAAGAGCCGGGATCAACTCGATGACCTTAGCTGCGTGGCACCATCAATGCCGTCCATCGTCGTCTCTGGGGTTGGAAGAAAGCAGAAAGTAACAGATCCCAGTCTCAATGTACTATTTTGATAAGAAATTAGTGATAGACGCTTTTATGAAATTGGTTTGCTTTGTTAGCTTTCTATTCTTTTTCGGGGATGTGATGTCTGTGTAATCATAATTTTGGCTCATCATGTAGATTTTAAGCTAACTGAAACGGTGAATCATATAGATACATTAGTTAGTTAGAGTACTGACCGGAGCTCATAGTGCCAGGGCCGTAGTTATCCCTTCACCCTCCCCGGTGCCGCTGCTCGCGCTTGTTATCGCGTGAGTGCTGCTGCGGCCTACGTTTTCGGTAGTTGGTGAGCTCTTAATGATTCTATACCGTAAGAGGGTAAAATTGCAAATGTAAGAGATCTTTAGTAGGGAATGCCTATGTGACAGATTGTTCGGCATTCTATCTCCTCGTTTCTAAGAGTGTGGTCACTTCGTCGCTATTGTTACTCTTGCAATGAGTAGTGATCCATGTGTGGAATTTTGTTGTTGATAGAGTACCAGTCGGATCGCCCGGCTAACGCCAGGCTCTCCTCCTTCTTGTGTCAAACACCCTATCCCGAAAAATGTTCAACTGATGAATTTTTCCCCTTTTTCAAAGTTTATAGATTTTATGTTTTTTCCGCTGTTTAGCTTAGTTTCAGTTTTTTCCCGCTGTTTAGCTGAGTGAGATTATGAAACTGAAACGAGCTCAAAATAGATTATGTCGTCGTAGCATATCACATAGTCAGTTCGCCCGGCTAACGCTGAGCTTCCTTCCTTCTTTGACAAAGTTGTAATAACTCGGCTAACTCTCTCCACTCCTTTTTTTGGAACAAAT